TCTTTTGAAGAATTTTGGGTGTATTATGATTCGAGAACTAGAGATGTTTTTCAGACTTCTTGAAGCCGAAGTGTTTTTCTTATTGGATCTTCTACTTGATCACGAGGCTTATGACTAGTTTGAAGATTTGGATCTTATTTTTCTGCTTCATTGGTGGTGCTTTGAAGTCGAAGACCTTTACTGTTTAGAGATTCATGGTCAGCATCAGAGATCACAGACACTTCAGAGTTTCACAAATATTTCAGCATTTGGTTCTCATTATGTTTCATTTTATTACCACATTTGCTAGTCGGTTACTGTATTTTAGCCTTTTATCACTTCATTTATATCTCTCATTATTTGCGAGCATTTAGGGGGAGAATGTTGGAGCATGTAAATGCTCTACAAATTATGAGTGATAAGTTAGGTTTATTATTTTCCCTTTATTGTATTGTTGGTGTTTCTCTCTCCTATATATAGAGAGAGTTGGTCATTGTAAAAGTAAGAGTGCACTCACAATGTAGTTTCTAGAGAGAGAAAGTGTGGTGAAATTTCTTCCAACAAGGGATATTTATCTCTCCCAACAATATTATTCACGTATTATTTTTTTCTCTTTTCTAGTAATTATGGAACTACTCATCTTCATGTTCTTCATTTTTATGTTCGTTAAATCTCGAGATATTATTATTCTGCATCCACCGATCGTCAAAATGGGTTTCAACAGTTTGGTTTTGGCTAGGGTTCATCGTTGTTAAAATCAAGTATCATGGTCGTGATCAGTTATGGGGCTTTAGAAAAGGCTTTACGTTAACTACTAATAATATGCAACATTCGCTTTTCTTAAGTTAGGTCGGGTATTCGGGCATACTAAAAGATAAAAATTCCCTACATTAAATCCAAACCAAATATGCAATTGACAAACCTCCGATATATCTTACCATAAATCCGATCTATCAGACCTAATATACTCGAATCATAAACAAATTGGTGAGTCAGTTTATTCGAATATGGCTATTTTTCAACACCTTTCACAACCCTTTGCCGTTACCTCGAATAAACACATTGCAAATTTTTTGAATATGAGAGTTGAAATATAAATTATTATATATAAAAATAAAAATAAAATATTATATACAGATCAATTCATTTTGAATATTAAAACCTTGTTTTTGGAAGTTCAATTATATTTAAAAGATTTTTATAATTGAGTTGGAAAAAGGGATATTAAATTAAAGAAAGAGAAGCAGTTATGAGTGACATATTGATTGTTACATAAAGTAACAAAAAAGGCTTAAGTCACCTTACGTTTGCTGTTGCCTTTCCCAATTCGAACGTCCCTCACTTTAATGCACCTTCCTCTCTCTCTCTCTCTCTCTCTCTCTCTCTCAAATGTTCTTTTTCTTTCATATACATTCACTGTTTCTGTTAGTAAAAGGCAACAAATAAAGGAAGGTGAAGAAAAGACGAATTCAAGCCACCTGTTTTTCTCCAAGACAAACCCATCATCATCATTTGATCAAATTTCTCAAAAACCCTATTCCTGCAATTCGATCTTCCTTTCTTTTCCTTTAGATTGTAGCTCTTAAAATGGGTTTCTCTCTGTAGGCTTTTTCCATGTCTGTTTAAAGAGAGAATTCACTTTTTGAGATAATTACACTGCAAAAGATCGCCCTTTTGGAGAAAAACCCCTTTCGTTCTTCACCTTTCTTTTCATTTAGAGTAAGAAAAGGAATTGGGCTTTTGCGTAGTTTATCAGCAATTCATTTTCTTGATAAGTATTTAATTTATTTCCTTTTCTTGATAGAATTGAGCTTATTTTTCCACGAGTTGGGGGTTTTGATTTCATTGCTCCATTTCCTTTATTAAATTCAATTTTTTTCCTGGGTTTTTGAGGAAGTGGGGTTTTGGGTTCCATGGCTGCTGGTCCTGAAATTTCAATCGAATCCGCAGCATCAACGACGGTGGCTGGTTCTATTACTGTCGTTGATCAATCCTCACCAAAAACTGAGGTCGCCGTTACCAACCAGAGCGACAATTTCAATGTTGCTAAACCCGATGATAACGATTCCGTTGTGAATAACGTTGACTCCCAAAACGGGTCCGATTCCGATTCAAAATCAGAAATGAAAATGCAAGATATCGTCGATATCTTGTCCAATTTGAAGTTGAATCCCATGGCGAAGGAATTCTTCCCTTCTTCCTACTCGCCAATTGATCGCAATGGTGATCAGACCGAACTTACCCTCAATTACTTCGCGCCTGCTTATTTCACTAATTCCCCTGGAGACGGAATTGAAGCATACCCTAATAATCGCAGAGTATGTTAATCAACTGATGCACTTTGATTAAATTATGTTATTTACTGGTTCGATTATCATTTATCCCTTAGATAATTAGTTTCTCGAGGGTCTTATTACGATTAAATCAATTTTTTTACCACCAATTGTGATGGGTATTTGATTATAATTTGTGATTCTTATTCATGATTTCGTTCTATCTGCTAAAAGCTTTATTATTTTGTTATACAGAGGAGAAATAACTATAGTCAGGGAAGAAGACGATTAAATGGAAGAGCTTTTCGAGCTCAAAGAGAAGATAGCATTAAGAGAACAGTTTATGTTTCTGACATTGATCATAATGTAAGTAACAACACTTATAATAAATCTAATTCTAGTCATTTCTTATAACGAATCATTGAAACCCTTTGTTCTATAATGAATCGATATCATTTTTTATAATGAATCATCGAATCTTTCCTTCTTTTAGGTCACTGAAGAGAGACTTGCTGCTCTGTTTAGCGCCTATGGCCAAGTAAGTCCTTACTCTTTAAAATAACAAATTACACAAAAAATAATTATATGTTTTTTTTGGAGTCTTATGGTTTAATCACTTGTCATATCTGTCTTATCAGTCTTATTTTTATGGAAGACTACGCAAATTTTGTGTAGTATTTTTGTAATTTGCACTCTTTAAACTTAATTAATATTTTCAAATTTTTGTTCAATTGATTATTTGAGTCCTTATTTTGTTTGTTATATTCATATGAAGGTTCTTGATTGTCGAGTTTGTGGGGACCCACATTCACGTCTCCGTTTTGCATTCGTAGAGTTTGCTGATGAGAGTAAGTTTGACATAAAAAGGTTTAACTTTTATAGTTTTTATAAAATTGTATAAGAAAAAAAGATCACTTGAGAAAAAGTTTACATTATTATTCTTATTAATGGTGATAGATTCCGCAAGAGCAGCTCTTAATCTTTGTGGAATAATGTTGGGATTCTCTCAAGTTAGGGTTTTGCCTTCAAAAACTGCCATCCTTCCAGTGAATCCAACTTTCCTTCCAAGGGTATGAAATTATGAATATGAAATAAAACATTTTTAATATAAATAAATATGTATATCAAAAAAGATGATGGGATTAAATTATTTATTTACTTTTTTGATGATTGGAATTCAGTCAGAGGATGAAAAGGAGATGTGTGCAAGGACAGTCTACTGTACAAATATTGACAAAAAGGTCAGTATACAGTATACAATATACAGTTTACCAGATTAAATCTTGTTGTTTCTGTTAAGTTCATTAAGTCAAAAAGAAACATCGATAGGTTTCTCAAGCGGAGGTCAAGAATTTTTTTGAAACAAGATGCGGTGAGGTTTCTCGCATTCGGCTTTTGGGAGATCATGTTCATTCAACACGAATTGCTTTTGTTGAATTTGTGATGGTGAGTTTTTTATTTTTATGTTATAAATACCGAGAAAATACTATAAATGACATTTTGATTTCTATTATATATATATATGTATATATATATATATATATATATATATATATATATATATATATTGTCCATTTTAAACTTTTTGTAAAGATATAATGAAACAAGTACAATTATGAAAAGTATATTATATAGTAAGAATTTGAATTTTTTGAATAACACGATTTACAAGGTTGTGTGCACTAAAATTATATTGTTACCCATTTATGACATTAACCTTTTTAAATATTTGTGATTGTGGATGTGTGTCATTAGGAATAATTTAAAAGTATAAAACTCAATTTAGATTCTTGATTTGTATCATTAGGAATTTTCCTTCATTTTTGTTTCATCCCTTGATAAGTTTTGTATATTATGGATGATTTGCAGGCAGAAAGTGCGATTATTGCATTAGATTGCTGTGGTCAAACACTTGGAACTCAACCAATAAGGTAAGTTTCTCATTTCTGTATATATTTTCCATTTTAAATCTTGATTTTTTTAAAGAAATATTTATATATTTTTCTAATTCTTATAGGGTGAGTCCATCCAAGACACCAGTGAGGCCTCGAGTGGCTCGATCTCTTCCAACCAACTAATGTATGCATCCATCAGGGAGGATTTCTTCTTGTGAGGTGTTTGTTTTATGGCATTTTTGCCATTTTTACACTAGTTATGAACTTTGAAGGGGGAGACAAATTCAATCCCTAAGTTGAGAACTTGTTTTTGTTTTCTTCTTTTTCATCATGTTTGATTGCAGAATCCTGCAATCTGCAAACAATGGGCAAAGTAATGTTGCTCATTAAGACTTGGGATTCTAAGTTTTTAAATTGTATGTTACATTGCTTCTGGTGTTCTTTTCATGACAAATTATGAACACTTTTGACACGTATGATAAATGTATGACCATATCGTATTTGACAAATTTTTATACAATTGTGTCCAAAAATCATATATCGGGTGCTTTTGGTTAAATTGTGACCGATAATTTATCAACATTTTCGTTCAAAACGTGTCAAATGATGATTTGGTTGAAACATTCATAATTTGTCGAATACGAGTTAGAAAAAAAACTATGTATAGCATATGTATTTTTGTGTTTTATTCAATTCAGGGCACATTGTATGAAATAGCAACACACTTTGCTTATCCAACCAATACAAAAAGTGTATTTTCTTTTACTTATATGGCCATCCGGATTACTCTCCATGGAGGACATTCGTTGTCCACCTGGCGAGAACCACGAACACAAACACTTGAATTTAATTTTAAAAAAAAATACCTATAAATACAACCTACTACCACCTTATTTTTAAACCATTCTTCTGTTTTATACTCTCTAAAATATCACATAGATGGATATTTTACAAATTTTGATTTGGATGATAATGGGGAGTTTATTTCAACTTTTGTAATGTTGTGCAACACATAGATGATGAAGAGCGTATTGATGTTACACATACAAGAACGGTTGTCGATCGAGATCGTCAAACCACGCATAAACTTTTGGTACGTGATTATTTTGTCGATAATTGCATTTATAATGATGAAGCATTCAAATGTCGTTTCCGTCTTAATAGGGCATTATTTTTACGTATTAGTAATATTTTACAGGCGCGATATGAATATTTTAAACAAAAACCAGACACTAGAGGAAGAATGAGCTTTAGTGATATACAAAAATGTGCAACTTCATTTAGATATTTAGCATATGGTATATAGCCTTTGAAGCAACAAATGAGTACTTGAAAGTATCTAGGATGACCGCAAATGACTGTGTAGATCATTTTTGCGCATGTGTTTATGAGGTTTTTTGTAAAGAATATTTGCGCAAACTTATTGCACGTGTTACCGAGATATTGGATTTAGCACATGAAGAGAGACATGGATTTCTAGGAATGATCGGTAGCCTTGATTCTACGCATTGGGCATGCAAAAACTATCTAACTACATTGCACAGTCAATTTGACCGAGGTGATATAGGTGAGCCGACTATGATACTGGAAGTTGTTGCATATTAGGAATTGTGGATATGACATTCTTTCTTTGGAGTTGCAAGGTCTAACAATGACCGTAATGTTCTTGGCCAGTCACCCATTTTCAACGATATATGGACCAAGAGAGCACCCGATACGTTCTTTACGGTGAACGAGCATTGGTGCAAGCATGGTTACTACCTTTGTGATGGGATATACTCAGATTATTCCACAAAATGGAAAGAATCTTCTAGAAAGGATATAAAGAAGGCATTTGGAATCCTTAAGCAGACATGACACATAATGAAATACTTTGCATGACTATGGAATATGGAAAAGTTAAAACGAATAATTTATGCATGTATTATAATGCATAATATGATTATTGAACATGAAGGTAGAACAATTTGCAAGCACAATGAGAACGACATATGTAACCTAGCTCCAGAGTTTGTATCTGATTCGACAGAATTTTTAACAAGAGTAATTGATATTCAAAATACTGAAACGTTTTGCAATCTTCGAGATAACTTAGCGGAGCATCTCTACCGAAACAATATGAACAAACAATAGTTTTTTATGTTTTTTTCTTTTTTTTTTTAAACTAATGTATTGTTTTTTTGAAATGAATGAAAACCTAATTTAAAAAATATATATGTTTTTCACTGTATTTTGATTTAATTTTAAATAAGAAATGATTTGGAGTGGTGTTTAGTGGTATGCATACCAAATGTTTAGTGGTTAAATATGATGATAAGGTGACACTCACTATATTAGTGGTTAGTGGTGGGTACTCTTGATGCTCTAATAACAACACACTTGGATGAGTGACATTAGTTGTTGATGTGCCATTGTACACATCACTTATCACATATATAACTTTGGTGACATTATTAATTTTAGAGTAAATTACTGGCTTGTGGCTTGCTGTAATTTGTGTGATTGGTCTCTAATTTTTACTTTTGATTCGGGACATCCCTATATTTTAGATTTGTTTCGACTTTGCTCCCCGATCCAGTGGAAATAACTATTCTACCCTTGGTGATATGTTTTAATCTTTTTCAAATCCTAATTTAATTATTATATAGAATAAATTATTAAATAACCACATCCCACTTCTTCCTTGTATCCCTCTCTCCCCCTGTATTCCTTTCATTTCTCTATACTCTCAGATAATTATCAAAACTACCTCTCCTCATTGGAAAATCTGTCACCACCTCCCATGTCCCCCGAAACCATCTCTAGTGACATCCACACCCCTCCCCACCACTACCCTTCCCCTTTTTATCCAAAACTTGCAAAAACCATTATCTTGATGTAATAATTTTATAAGCTCTAAATCCAAACCAAAGTAAACATTAACCTGCATTGTTTCTTGAAAACTTGGGATAATTAAACAAATAAAATCTACAACATAACACTAACATTTAAATATTTTTCTATAATACTTTATACTAAATCAGTTTCACGTAATTAGAATAGTGGAAGGGAAGAGACCACCAGTAAACCACCACCTAACCATATTTTTCAGACCAATCGCCTAATGTTTGCACAACAAATTCAAGTTTATAATTTGAACTAAGGTAGTTGATTTCTATAAGTGGGATAGTAGAGAGACGGTAGTCAATTGTAAGGGTGATGAAATTGACAATAAAGAGACTGGGAACTTTAAACTATCGATTATGTCTTTCAACAATGTCAATTTTTAGGAGCTTCATTTGTAAAAAGGGAAATTAAATGGAGAAGAGTATAACATGATGCACATCGACTATCAAAGATGCATAAATTAACATTGATGTTCCCTAATTTATTAACAAGTAGATTTTTAAGAATGCGGTTATGGTGTTTCACGTAAGTAGGAGGTGGCGAGCAGAGAATAGGGTTCAAATTCGTGGCAAGGCTCATATGTGAAACAAATGGTTTGATTAGGGTTTCGGGTAAACCACTACCTTCTTGTGTTTAGCAACATCATAGTGGAAAGAGGAACAATGCTTGATTTAGGGTAGGACACTGATGAACTCAATGAACGTTCCTTGTGTATCAGTCTTTGCCATTGGTGTCTTTGTGGGTGCATATAGAGGGAGAGACGTGCTCTCTCACACAAGAGAGTGAGAGAGAAGGAGATAGATATAGATAAATAGATAGAAAGAGGAGGAAGATAAATGTGTGGGTTGGGGTGGGCCCTTAAATAATTTACTCCATATAATAATAATTATAAAAAAAATTCATAAATAGTCCTTAGGATTTTAAAATTGTCCCTAAAACAGCCCTTATGAAACTATTCTTGCACAAATGGTCATTAAGAATGGATCTCGTTACACCACATGTCCTTTTAGTTTGAATTTCATTACACCATCGATCCTTTTGATTAACTCTGTTAAACCAATGTGAAATTACCTTTTTCCCTTCTTTTATGTCATAATTAGAAAAAGAAAATACAAGTCTCTCTCTCTCTCACTCACACACTCTCTCTATCTCTTTCTCTCTCTCTCTAAAAACAAAAAGACGATGGTGTACCCTTTAATAAACACTCTAAATCCCTCCACTGATATACTCAACATACCCACCCACCCCTATTCTCCTATTTGTTCCACCATCTAAACCCACTACCACAAAAGTCCACACCACCATCAAAATGAAGATTAAGAACATAAAATTAAGTTGAAATGAAATTAATACCCTCCAATAAGCACTGTAATCCCTCCTCCAATAAACATACTCCTAATGTAACGAACCAGATTTCTATACATCTATGCTATGGGATTTATCAGAGTTTTTATATATGATGTGGAATTCTACACTAATTAAAACCTTTACATCCTATGCAACAATCATGGGTTTATAATAAAATCTACATACAAATTAGAACAACAAAGGAAATTATATAAATAACAACCTACTATCTATTTCTTCCTTATGCTCCTATTTTCTCTTCTGGTACAATGGTTTCTACATCCTGAACCCGCAAAAACATAAAACTCCACAATATCAGATACAACGTGTCTGGTGAGTTATTCTTCTTTCTTTTGTTATCTTTCTTTCCTTCTCTTTCTCGTACTCTATCATCTTATCTCTTTCTCTTAGTAACACACACTAGTATTCTTTTTTTCTTTCATCTATCTCTTCATCTTCTCTATTTTTTTCTACTCTACTCTCTCTTAAGCCCCTTAACATGCTCTTCTCATATTCTTCTCTTAGCCTCTTAACAGACTATTCTCATGCTCTTCTCTTAGCCTCTTAACAGGCTCTTCTCATACTCTAAGTCCTCTCTATCCTCATCTCTAGTGCCTTACTCTCTACTCATTTAGACCCAAAGGTCATACCTCATACTATAAGGGAATAACATGCTATTGTCATTATTGGGCACACTCACCCAGTGTTACCTCTCTCTCTCTCTCTTATAATCCCTCATGGATCCTTAATCTTTCTTCTTACTCTTGAATCCCTTGCGGATTCCTTACTCTTAACCACTTGTGGGTTACATCTACGTTCTTACAAAGAACTCTCTAATATTGTTCCTCTTAAGGAACCTTTCTATATATCTTCTAATCATACTCAATATGGATTCACGCAAGACTCATCTATCTATATTCCTATAGGTAATCATCTATCTCTTTCCCCGTAGGGACATAATCTCATTCCTGTAGGAATCATACTCTTTGTCCTCGTAGGAACCTGTACTCTATACCCGAAGGAATCTCTATCTCTTGTCCCCGAAAGAACCATACTCTTGTCCCCAAAGGAACCTTACTCTTGTTCCTGTGGGAACCATACTCTTATCCTCGACGGAACCATACTCTTATTCCCTTATGAACCATACTCTTGTCCCCGAAAGAACCATACTCTTGTTCCCGTAGGAACCATACTCTTGTTCCTGTAGGAACATTATATATCGTTTATATCTATCCTTGAGATGTGACTCATCACATAACACGTGTCCCTTGGACAGTCTATCTCTTTATCCCATTAAGAGATCTTATATTACTCATCTAGTTCTTAATACATTAAGTACTTAATCTAAAACTATGGTTAGTACCATATAGCATCCTATAATACTAATGTTAGCTAGACATACTTACATACTCTTATGATTATATTGCATATAATCAACTTCTATCTCTATCTACTTTTCTTAGGTATTCCAACAGATACATTTGCCATCTCTAATTATACATAGCATTATATCACATATAATCATTTTCTTTCTTTATCTACTCTTATGAGCATTACTCATAATACCCCACATCTTTCCTTTCATATATTCACATGCTTTAGTTATAAATACATGATCAGATACATGGTCTTACATGTATAACCACAAGCACTTAACCTTACACAGGATCATATCCTACATGATCCTTTCTTTTCTTTCTCTATGTCATGCTTTGGTACATGAAGCTTAACACATAAACACACACACATACACACACACATATTTATATATATATATATATATATATATATATACATATATATATATATATATATATATATATATATATATA